TCATTTGTGTTGTTGAGACCGAATGTTTTTCCAAAGCATTTGGGCTTGATTAAGAGGTAGCTAGGCTAGAGAGTCATACTCGTGACTGGTGAGAGCTCAATGGCAACGACTTCTCCTAAGTCTCCTATGGGTTCCCCTCGCCCGGTGTTGCGTCGTGGAAAGGCTTCAGAAAACCCTCAGTCCTTTGACCTCTAGCCCTAGCAAGTCTCCCAAGCCTAGCCCGTCTCAGAGGTCCAAGGGTGGAATTGCGTCACCGAAAGTCAAGCCTGTGAAAAAGTTTCAGAGCAAGGGGTCTCTGGAGGTTCAGGCCAAGGCCAAGGCTGACTGTGTGATGCGTAAACCAGCTTCGGCAATCCCGCCATCGTTGTCTGACCACGAGATCTACAAGCAGATCGTTAAGGAGAAGAACGAGAAGTGGCAAGAGGCGATGTGCGCCATTCGTGGCGAATGGGAAGAGATGAAGGCATACAACAAATCATATGGCTGCCCCCCAGCAATGAATTGGCGCGAGTTTCTTGACTTCTTCATATATACGTAGTTTGTCAAACATAGGTGCTTTCCAAGATAAGATTAATCATAAATTCGAACCATGCTAAAGCCAAACTTTTGTTTAATCTTTCTTTGGCGTCGATGCTTTGAGAAAACGGGCTTCAGAAGATTACACTGCATCCCATTTACATGAAATCCATGATTTGCCTCTTCTCTTTATCGATGGCGACTATTCAATCATGATGGTTTGGTGATGAATGATGTTATGCTATGTAATTTGAAATAGGTACTCGAAGTAGAAAGTAGCAGTTAGTAGTTAGCAATTAACATGGTAATAATACAGATCATTTGATAATTATCATCATAGACCGTCTAGACCCCATTCTGATATCATTAAATAAACTATGACTCTGGCTATTATGTGTTTCGTAATTCAACCTGTTGGCTAGGCTATGTTACAAAAGTATCATATGACTTTTGAGTCAGATTTATGAATCTGACACATGATTTACCCTTAACAACTTAGCCTCATATAACTTAGCGACCAGTACCTTGTCATCATACTCTAATAATTATTACTATTGCTACTATTACCACTGTTAGACTATATAATATATATATAACTCTGACTAACTTACAACTAAAAAACTTTATAACTATGACTCTAACTTACGACTAGATACCAAGTTACAACTTCTAACTTATAACGGGTATATACCCCGTATAACCGTAAAACTGTATAACACTGTATAACTGTATAACTACTTAACTTATAAACCTATACCCTGCAATTGGACCAGCTTTCAGGTTCTGGCCATCCAGCTTGAAGGAAGCAGGATGGATTCAGCTTGGCTCACTCCTTTGCTGTCCTGAAGGATGGACACGCCGATTTGATTACACGATCCCTGCAGCGGACTCCGAGACGCAGATTTAGGTACATCTCGGCTAGGACCTTGGAAAATGAAGCTGTTGCACAGTAGATCGCTATTTTTCAACGCTGGTTGTCAGCGGAATTGGTCGAAATGCAGGTTTCATGTGGTTTTCCCGGCTCACGTCACTTCTTGAGTGGCGATAGCCTACTGATAGATAGCTATTTAGAGCTGTTTCTGTGTTTCCGTGGCAGCCTTCACAAGGCAAGCCGAACTTCGTTGTGAGCACTGGCTGGCATTGCGACCGAATGCTAGAGCCAGAATGTGGTGTTGTTGAGATTGGCTGAATAGCCGATGAAAACTAGACAGCAAGCAGTGGGAAGAAATGCCAATGTTTTTTCTCGAAGTTTGGGATTGCTGATTGCCTGAACTTACTTGGGTAACTGGTATCGTTGCCGAATCGTTTGTTTTGAATCAGCCTTTTTTTTGGTGAGCTGTTTGTTTGAGATTGGGTGCAACAGTCAGCGCCACAGCAAGCTTCACCAGTTGCTGCCAGTAGCTTGAAAGATAAGTTGAATAGATTCACAATGATTTTTGTCTCTCTCGTCAAGCTGCCTTTCTGAACCTGGATTCGTTGGATTCTGTATAGCCTGTATAGCTAGCCGTATAGCCCTGATCATGTGATCTTTCATGTCTTTCCCAAAGGCATTTAGGCTTACTCAAGGTGCAGCCAAGAGCAGATTTTTTGACTGGTTGTAGACTGTAGACTTAATGGCGCCTACTTCACCTAAGTCTGCCAAGAAAGCCTTGTCTGATACAGAGACGCTGATCTTGGGACAATCTCCTCGTTCCCTACGTTCGGCGTCAAGCCCTGGAAAGGCTTCAAACTCAGGTGGAACTCCCAGTCAAAGTCCCAAGACACCGAAGGGAAAATCTGTGAAGTCTAGTCCTAGCAAGTCTCCCGAACTTAGTCCCTCTCAGAGTTCAAAGAAGTGTGGAATCGCGTCACCGAAAGTCAAGCCCGTGAAAAAGCTTCAGAGCAAGGGGTCTCTGAAGGAGCAAGTCAAGGCTTGCAGTGTGATGCGCAAGAGCAAGGCTGCTGGAAGCCCTTCGTCGTCGCCCGGCAGCTGCACAAACAAGCAGATTGAAGAGGAGAAGAAGGCTAAGTGGGAGGAAGCGATGGTAGAGATTCGCACTGAATATGATGCAATGAAGTCCTACAACAAGTCGCATGGTTGTGGGCCATACTCCCCCTGGAAGAAGTTTCTTGACGTGGTTCTTCAGAATTAGGGCCCGTGTGTTTTTCAAAAACGAGTCTATGAATCATATCAAGAGTTGGTTTTGACAAATACTGATGCTGCAGATGCTGTACTGTTACAATTCTGTTGATCATGTTGTGTTATGTTATGCAGTTAAGTTTTTATCAGTTATCAAATCTTACACTTACATTTATGTTCCGGTTACTGCACTGCACTGATTCAATGATTCAGATAGTGAGATGATCTGCGTAGGCTACGTTACGTAGGCATTGGCAGTGGTGATTGTCACGTAGTAGACGGTAGCATAGGCAGCACAAAGACACATCACTTCACATATTGCCGCTGATGATTTTGTTGTTCATATCATATTATATTATATTATATTATTTCAATCATATATCATATATCAATATATAATAATAAATAATATAATCATATATCATATAATTATCATTTATAATTTATAATTTATATAATTCATATTCATATATGATAATTTATATATATATGAATCATATCATATCATATCATATCATGACATGTATCATTTATCTATCAATGAATGAGCTTTATATGTTTGAATGAAAGATTGGTAGAACCACATCAGAACCATATCTTAATTATTAATTACTCACATCATATGTATCATTCCGTATATAAATAAATATATAATATAATTATATAAATATATTACTATATTATATTATATTACCATATCACACCATTTCAAGCGCTTTCAGGTTCTGGCCATCCAGCTTGAAGGAAGAAGGATGGGTTCAACGCGGCAAACTCCGTTGCTCAGCTGCTGGATGGACGCGCCAGTTGGACTACACCACTCCAGCGCGTTGACTGAGTTTTGAGTATGGCGTAGGATAGGCCTTGGCTAGGACCTTGGAAAATGAAGCTGTTGCACAGTAGATCGCTATTTTTCAACGCTGGTTGTCAGCGGAATTGGTCGAAATGCAGGTTTCATGTGGTTTTCCCGGCTCACGTCACTACTTGAGTGGCGATAGCCTACTGATAGATAGATAGCTATTTAGAGCTGTTTCTGTGTTTCCGTGGCAGCCTTCACAAGGCAAGCCGAACTTCGTTGTGAGCACTGGCTGGCATTGCGACCGAATGCTAGAGCCAGAATGTGGTGTTGTTGAGATTGGCTGAATAGCCGATGAAAACTAGACAGCAAGCAGTGGGAAGAAATGCGAAAGCTCAGCTCTAGCACGTCAGAGTGCGTTTCGGATTTGGGCAGCAGCGTATCATCAAAGCAAAATCAAATCCCGGTCATTGTTTTTTTTGACTTCGGAATTCCAAATCATTTTCTTGGCGAGTCGTTTGTATGAGAAAGCACTTGTTTGATTTGCAGCTTACAGGAAAGAGAGACACCAGTGCAAAGTTTGCACGCAGCAATGTGTTTCACAAGAACAACATTTTTTCGATGAACTACGAGAGAGAATCTCATGTGACGTCACTTCAAAGCATTGATCAGTTATCAGTGATCAGTTATCAGTTATCAGAGTCATAGTGTCATAGTCATAGTGGACTTTGTTTTTGGCCCAACCTGAGCGATTTAGCTCTCTCTGTCTCTCGCGCCCAGCTTGCGTGTTTCCAGTTCCCAGCTTTATCGTTGATCCTTGTCATCATGGCGCCAAAGAGTGGAACCAATTCCTCGTGTTGCAAGTGGTGCTTGCAATCGTTTCTCACCACACCCAATCCTTTGGTGAAGAACCCGTCTTCGAAAGATTTTCTCAAGAGAAGGACTCCCTGCAGCAACGAATGCAGGGCATGTGCGAACTTTCAGTCCATCACTGAGCCGTACAAGTCAATGTCCAAAGCAGAGTTGTTGGAGACATTGGCAAATGAGAACAAGCGCAACGAGTACATGAGTGGGCTGGAGAGCTATTGTGAGCAGCGTCGCCAGGGGAAACGGATGCCGACTGCATCAGGCCTGGTTCACACTGGAAACAAAACAACCGTTTAAGTTTAAACAAAACTACTCACTACCTATTTGTTAGCATTATCTCAATATGTTTGTATGTATGTATGTATGTAATGTAATGTAATGTTATGTATGTATGTATGATTGATTGTATGTATGTATGTATGTATGTATGTATGTATGTATGTATGTATGTATGTATGTATGTATGTATGTATGTATGTATGTATGTATGTATGTATGTATGTATGATGTATGTAATGTATGTATGTATGATGTATGTAATTAATGTATGTATGTATGTATGTATGTTTGTTTGTATGTATGTATGTATGTATGTATGTATGTATGTATGTAATATAATAATAATTTTAATTAATAATATATTAAATAATATATAATTTAATAATAATATTCTGCACTGACTTGCACTGTTAGAGGAGTGCAACTATGTTTCTATCTGTTTGCCTGTCAGGTTCAGCTCCTCTTGATGCGAGCTATGCTGAGAGCTCATCGGCTTTCTCTACGAAGCAAGTCATCGGTTACTTTTGGTCAGTTGAGCTGCTGCGAAAGCATTCCAAGCCGATTCCCAAGAAGTTAAGCTCCCTGAATCACCAAGGACGTGTTGTCAAGGGAGTTACCCTCGATGAGTTTGCAGTGGGTACCTAGCCAAATTAAACATTGACATTGACATGCTACATGTTGTTTCGAACTTACTTTTCACCCCAACATTTAGATTGAATCATATCAATCAGTCTGTCTATCGCCTAGTCGACAAAGCAAAGGTGACATGTGATTCTTGGTTTATGGATTGGGTTTTTGGAAATTTCTTCTTACCATTTTCTTGTATCTATGCAGCATCCAGCATCTTCTCTAGGCTCTAGGTATCTTGTTGCCTTAGCAAATCTATCAGGTTTATCGCCGACTCTGGCCCAGGTACTATCGAGGTTTCCACGCTGTCTACCCGAGGGGCTAAGAGAATTGCGGAGCTTGCCAAAGATGATTCCGATCATGAGGGGGAGGCAAGTGCAGCCTTTGAGATTGCGCAGAAGAAGTTGAGGGTTGCTGGTGTCAGCAATGACGAGAACAATGAGATTAGCTTGAAGATGCCGGGGAAGTCAGAGGACGATACGGATGAGCTCCATGCTATCCTGTTTGGGGAGAGATCTCGGAAAGAGAAACAGGGATCAGATGATGAGCAGGAGAAAAAGCGCAGGGCGACCGCGAGAAACAAGAAGGCCATGAGTTTGCCTGGCAAGCCTACTTCTCAGGCTGATGGTGGCAGTGCACCTTCTTCGGAATCTGGCGGAGCAGCTTCATCGTCCGCTGGGTGGAACATGAATCACATGAACGGGCCTGTGAATCACAAGAAAGCCGCCAGTGAATCCAAGGAATTGGATAAGGCAGAGGCTTTAGTCCTCAGCGTCAACCAGTTGAAGTTCCAGGTGCAGGAAGAGTCTTCAATCATGCTTATCACCTTGAAGACTGTGCGGGCTTTGATTGACAAGGTGTCCCACCGATTGACTCCTGAAGCCACCCAGTTCTTTATGGACGCAGTCAAGCGCAATGGCAGCTCTAGCCGGGCTGCTACAGTCTGGCAGTCCCTGAAGGATGCCAAGGCTTGTTTGGAAGCTTGTCTTTAGATTCACTAATTTTTCAATTGTATTTTTGTCTTTTGTTAAACCATCAGCAGACACTGTCGCCATTTAGTTGGCAGTTTTTTTTCTTCCATAGGTTGATGTTTTTGATCAGCCAATTACGAGCCGAATGAGGATGCAATCGACGAATTTGTCGAAGCTCTGCAGGATTCTGAAGCATCCCCACAGACTGTGACAACCAGATCTTCCAGATTGAAGGAGTTCGGCATCCAACTGCCGAGGAATGTGAACTTTGTCATCTGCAAGAAGAATGCCGAAGAACTCTTGCAGCAAGGGCAACTTGACCAATTGTTCCTCTTCCTGGATCCTTCCAAGCATTCTCAGGATACGGGAATCATGAGTGTGCTGCCGCCAACGGACAATGAGGACAAACGAAAAGACATGGTGCGGGAATTCCAGGTGGGGTGCATCTCTCACTTGATCAACAGCTTGCTGCTCAAAGAGTTTCAATCCACTCTTTCCGGCAAAGAGTCACTTGACATCTGGAGGTGGAATGTGTTGGACAACCATTGACTAAGACTCATACATACAGGACTGTCTACTTTACTGTATATATTAAATTATATACTTATGTACTGTAGTGTATGTATACTGTATATGTATACTGTATATATTGTATACTGTACTGTATACTGTATACACTGTATGTAGACTATACAATACTGACACTGATACTATACTAGACTATATGATGATATAATTGAATATATGATATATGATATATGATGATATATGATATGATTCGAAATATGATATATGATATATGATATGAAATGATATGATATTAGATATGATTATTTATATATATATATTATATTATATATTATAAATTAAATAATATATAATTTATAATGATATATGATTGATATATTATTATATGATATTTGATATTTACATATATATGTGATAATACCGATGTTTTTGGGGTGGATTTGCTGACTTCTCGCCTCAGGTTTGAAGACGAGAAGAAGAAGTTCATGCTGGGATGTGTCCAATCATTGGTTGATTTCCTTCAGGGTCTCAAGGTGTCCAGCATCTACGACAATGCTTTTCCTGAGAAGACGTCCGTGAGAGAGGATTTGGAGCGCATCATGTTCATTGCAAAACGTTTGATGTCGCCAGACCCATTGAGTGCAGCCGAGTGCGAGTCTGTCCAGTCTGCGAAGAGCTTGCTCTTGAAAAAAGGGTCCCATTTCCACACCGGCCTCGTCACCTTCCCTGTGGGTTCATGGATCATGGAATTTGTGGGGTCGATGCTTACCCAGTCCAGGAATGATCAGCTCCTCGCAAAAGAGTTTGAGGGCGTCTTTGATTTTGCCGAGAACTTGAAGATCACTGTGGATGGAGTCATCAAGAAGGACAAAGAGACTGGAGCCATTGATATCTTCATCCCAAATCAGGGAAAGTTTGCGGACATGTCGGCCAAGTACTTTGCTTTCATGGACGAAGCATCAGACAGTGCCAAGGCTTTGATGGAAAAGCAGCACACTGTTGTCCGCCATCGCATTGAGCAGCTCATGGCTGCCCTTATTGATGCAGCTGCCGGGAAGCTTGAGGATTGCTTTGAGAAGCTCGGCAACAAGTTGTGTTCATGCTTTGGCACCAGCGGCGGGAATGGTGAGCTGTGGACAGAAGCAAAGTCTTCTGAGTGTTGTCAGAGTTTGGTTTCCATGATCGGTATGCAACCGTGGCCAAAGATTCAATTGGCAAAAGTTCTTGGGAAGAGCCATGCCCTCAGCATGGACAAGTTGACAGCTTCTGTTGTCTCCTTCGGTCAATGCTTGCAGAAAGCCTTCCCAAAGCTTCTTGCTTTGAAGGACTCGGAAGCCACACAAGAAGTGTTGATGAGCCCCGAAATCCGAGATTTTTTCCACATGCTTCACAACAGAGAGGTTGCAAGTGCCATGTCGAAGCTTACGCCCAAGCTGGCTCCTGCTACGACAACACTGCTTGGACTCATCGACACGAAGGTTGGCCAATTCCTCAGCAAGACAGCTGATACCTTTGGCAGCTTCCTGACAGGCATTTTGGAGACGGAACCCCAAGTTTCCTCACTCTTACAAGCCAGCGTTGTGGGCATAGCCGACTTTGAGATTGACGACAAGAACACGGGCAAAGCAGAGAGCGAGATTGACTTCGGTGCCATTTTCACAGCCTTTGAGCAGTACTTTGCACAGGGCAAGCTTGCTAAGCTCAAACTTGGAGAGAAAGAGATCTCGGTTGACGTTTCATTCCTATGCGTTGCAGGTTCTTTGCAGCAAATGTCAAAGTACGTGCTCACAGTGAAGGAGCTTGTTGAGACTGGCGCCCTTCAGGGCGACTTTAAGGAATTGATTCGGGCGCACATGCAATGTCTAGCTGAGAAGAAGGAATTGCCCAAGTCTGATTCAAAGCTCAGCTTTTTCAAGGTGATCCCTCAGTATTTGCCCAACTTGGTCAATGCTGCACAGTCCCATCAGGCCATGGTGGGTAAGCTGGGCGAATCGATTGCCAATGCCGACCAGATCAAGGAGTACTACAATGCGTTGCTTGGCGTTTTGGTTTCTTCCTTCAAGCAAGGACTTGCCGAGTGTGCCTCGGAATTGAAAGCCATGGAGGACTTGTTTGATGAGAACTTCGGCAAGATTCGGCAGCAGCATTCGGTTCCTTGCGTGTTCCACGCCAATGTGCTCGACCGTGAGGCTATTGGCAAGCTATGTCATGATGCAGGTGTCAAGACGGTGTTGTTCGCTGCCAGCAAAGCTGGCAGCCAATGTGCGCTGATGCAGGCATTCATTGAGAGTGTCAAGTCGCTATCCCTGATTCAAAAAGATCTTGGCAGTGAAGTGGCTGCTTTGATGAGTGACATGCAGGCCTTTGCCAAATCCAACAGCCAGAAGGTCATGCCCACAGATGCTGAGAAAGTGACCTTAGCTCATGTGAGCTATTTCCAAGGTAGTGTTTCGCTATCGCAAGCCATGGTTCGAACCTTGAACCCAGGAGAGACCCGTACTGGCCTCATTTCAAAATGTTTGAGCTTGCTCGAAAAGAGCAAGATGGTGGCTGATCCGACTTTGGCAAAGAAAGCCTCTCAAGCATTGGCTGGTAAGTGAGTTCATTCCTGCGAGGGCGCTTTTTGCAGATCATTTTGATCTCTTTCGGAATCATACTACCACTTGTGATTCCACTTTACCTTACTTGAATTGCCCTGTTAGTTCCATGCTGCTCTTGGTGCAAGAAGACACCAGTAGCTGAACAGCTGTCGCTGCAATGTGGGTTGTTGCCAGCGAAGGTTGACAAAGCCAACTCATCACGCGGAAGGTTGAAAAAGAGAAGTGGCCGAATGATCAGCCAGAGTGCAGAATCATTGAATCACAAAGGGCATTGAATCAGCACGCTACATTGGAAGTAGGTAGCACATCATAGCAAAGATTTTCACATCGAATCACATCCAAAACATGATTTCACGTGACATTGGATGTATGATGACAATGACATGACAATGACAATGTCAATGATAATGATGATTCTTGAACCATGTTTGATTCATAATTGATGATGATAGATAGATATGATGTGATTTTATCAATACAATATGATTTGATAATATAATATAATATAATTTATATAATAATATTAATATTAATAATAATAATAATTAATAATATAATATTATAAATATAAATATAATAATATAATAATTATATAATAATTTATTATATAAATAATAACAATATCAAATATAAATATATTATGATATGATATGATAGATGATATGATAATATGATGGTATGATGATGATATGATGATGCAATGGTGACCCCACCACCACAACCCAACTTGTACAGCTACACTTGTAACTTGTATTGTACAAAAAGTCATATTTACATCAAATCATGTTCATTATTTTGGAATGATGAGATACCAATTGTTTGATCATTGAATATTTATTTTAATATTTAAAATGTTCGAAAATATATCATACGATGACAAATTTTAAAAAGCCTTCAATATATTAAAGTTTATATATATATATTATATATTATATATATAACACAATTTAACTTAATTCATCTTTTTCAAAATGTAGCATGATTTATTGTTAAATTATTCTGATGATTATTCCATTCCCAATATAATTTTTAACTATGACTATGATTGATTATTTTATATTATACTATTATATTAAATTATATTATATTAATATTATTATTTATTTAAATAATATAAAATATAACATAATATAATATAATATAATAAAATAATATTATTATTATATAATTACATATCATAAGATATTCATATGATTTAGCAATATAGATAGTTTGTAATTGTTATTGTGATTGTAATGATATGAAATATTATAAGTTAACAGAATAACAATATCAATATTACAATAGTATCATGTCATAATCCCACCTCTACCCCACTTTGTTTAGACATGCCGGGTTTGTAATTCTCAAGTCTGAACTTCCAATTCAAATCAAGCCAACAAAACTGTGCAATTGGACAATATGAAAAACAATGGGTTGAACTAAACTATTAAAAAAACAATTATGAAATATGAGAACAAACGAAACAGATTGAACAAAGACAAGTTCAAACAAAAGATGTGGAAAAAACATTAAGTTGTTTATTATTAAGTGAAACAAAACAGAAAAAGATTGCAAATTTTCTTTTAAGTAGCTGAAAAAACAATGACGCAGAAAAATATAACACACAATATTTTCAACAAATGTAATATATATTATACAATATATAATATATCTATCATATCATATAATAATATATTATCATATAATAGTTTTTGATATGAAAGCAATAGTGTTAAAATATAATATCTAAAAAAAAGATAGCGTTAAAATATAAAAATTAACGTTAAAATATACAAAGAATAGTATTAAAATATATAAAAAAAATAACGTTAAAATATAAAAAAAATAACGTTAAAATATTAAAAAAATAGTGTTAAAATATAAAAAAAATAGTGTTAAAATATATAAACAAAGTGTTAAAATATAAAAAAAAATAGTGTTAAAATATTAAAAAAATAGTGTTAAAATATAAAAAAATAGTGTTAAAATATAAAAAAAATAACGTTAAAATATAAAAAAATAGTGTTAAAATATTAAAAAATAGTCTTAAAATATAAAAAATAGTGTTAAAATATAAAAAAAAATAGTGTTAAAATATAAAAAAAAATAGTGTTAAAATATAAAAAAATAGTGTTAAAATATAAAAAAAATAGTCTTAAAATATAAAAAAATAAGGTTAAAATATAAAAAAAATAGTGGTAAAATATAAAAAAATAGTGTTAAAATATTAAAAAAATAACGTTAAAATATAAAAAAAATAGTGTTAAAATATAAAAAATAACGTTAAAATATAAAAATTTTAGTGTTAAAATATAAGTTTTTTAATGTTAAAATATACCCCCGGCATGTCCTAAAGAAAACGTGTTAGAGATACATCCTAAAATATATATATATGTATTTTGGAGGATTGAAAATGCATTTGACGAACCCATTGACAATGCAACATGCCAGTTCATAGACAATGTTTTCATGAAGAAAAACCTGTATATATGTGTATATATATATATATGTATATATATATGTATATATATATATATGTATATATATATATACACAGTGTTTAGAGGATTTCCCACTGTTTTCTTTCAACAGGGTAGGGTATCCCTCCTATCTCCACCTGTGGGTCCCCGGGTCCCAAGAGGGTCCCAAGGAGCCAGGAGCCAGGAACGGATGGACAGTTGGCTCGCTTGGAACGTCGAAGAAGTTGCCATGTGGTCACAAAGAAGGTGCACAAAGCCACCTGAGCAGTTCACATAGATATATTATTCGTTATTATATTAGTTGATATGTAATGTTAATGAGTAGTTTCTATATTTATTAACTAATCATACTCAGCAGCTATGATCATATACTAATATTTGATCATAATATTATATACAGTTGATTAATATAGATATGACTAGTATAATACACCTGTTCATATTATTAGCTACTCATTGTTATTGATGTGAATATGCCTTAGTATATAGATACTATTATCGTCCATATTGATGATAAGTAATAACTATGGCAGTGGGGATAATAGGCAGTTGGCTGGGTACATAATGAGGATATTTTATAGGATATACGAATATACTACATTATATCATACATAAACCAACAATGTTGAAAACCCTGTTGGTTGATGGCGAACGTTCGCCATCAACCATCAAAGTATGGGGATATATGTGGATATGACAAATCAATGATGGTTGGACGATGAGTTCAGGGGACGATAACGGTTCTACTGACCAATAGGGAAAGATCACGTGATCCATGGGGAATCTCGTTACCAATCAGTCTAGTCACAAAGGCATGTAACATGTGGCCTCTGGTGATTTCACATAATGACATAGCTAACAGTATGGAAAATCAACATCTTTAGAATCTTTAGCAGGTAAATCATCATTAAAATCATCGATTCTCATGAGCAATTTTCCATAGCAATGTCCAAGAACCAAAGGGATCCAAAGAGTATATAGCTAACCATCCAATGCTTGCGGCTGCCCGATTTTGACCAATAGCCACCAATAGGGAAGAGAAAAGGAATCCACCTGGCAAAATTGGTGGTTAATTGATGATTGTTTCGAAGAAAAATGGTGGATTGCAATGGATTATGAAAATCAAACTGTTTCGTTTCTCAAGGTGTGCCAGTTTTACTTTTGTTGATGAACAAATCTGCAAAGCTGTTGTTGTTTTCTTCAAATTTTGGGTGTTTGATGAACAATTTGAAGGAGTTTGAGAAGCAAAACCAGTGATCGGACATTCATCTATGTATATTGGACGTTTTGGAAACTCAGTCCCCTGTAAATCTTCTTCCAAAAATGGCTCAATTGACCTACCGTTCGCAAGTATCCACTTACATCCCAGTGGAAGTGGGGTTCTCTATGGTTTCAGCAAGTTTAGCCGCTTATAGCGGCTTATATCTTGAGGATTCTTGAGGTATTTTCATTGTAACATTTTTCAAACTATATCAAAGTACTTGAAACCAGTTCAACATCAGGTGATTTATGCTGGCGAAGATTTCCACACAACAATGTTAACAACGTTGCAAAACTGCAAGCCAAAGTGCCACAATATTTGTGACACATGTATACTGTACTATCTACACACAGCTTGACGATTAATTTAACCATTAAATAACCATGAACATTGTACTTACACCAACATGTTGGTGTTGGCATCTATGTTCATGGGTTTATATTGAGGTTCCAAGTATAGTTGTATAGATGATATAATCTAATTAATAATATCAAAACATATCCCAATCGCAAGTTCATTATCAACATATAAGATCGTATTATTAAATTTATAATAGTATAAAATGTGTTTTCCGTAGCCATGTTAAATCACAAGAATCCAATCATACCAATATGCTCCGTGTATGGAAGTCATCTAGCATCAAGATTCAAATGTAGGCACCCTCTGGTAAACGTTTACATAACTATGGAAAGATCCAGCACTTTTAATGGAATCAACTATTTCTACGGCAATTTTCAATAGCTATGTTCGTTTACCAGAGGGTAAATATTCCATACATCTGGGAAAATTTTAATATTTCACTAACCTGAATTGTTGGGCCATGTGGGGATGATTCCCCTTATTAACCATGATTCCCAGGGCTCGGTCGCAGTGAGGTCCTTAGAATTTACCCAGATACATGGAGCATACATAGGACCAGATCACCAAAACTTCAGGGACCAACTCCTGAAAGTGTCTCTGGGCTTGCCACGACATGAGGAGCTAAGGCGACCTTCAGGCGGCACCGCGTGCACCAACAAAACATATGTAAAAGTATATGGAAAAGTCCTAAAACTATTGTAAACTAGCAGTTTGCTGTTGAACATGACCATAGAAATATATAGTTGATTTAAAAATTGACGGTGATTTTCCAGTTATGTTAGTTTGGAGGGTAAAAGGATTGGTGTATGGGTACAGTCCCGGAGGGTCTAGGTCGTCTAGGTCCTGTTGCAAAGACTTGACCACTCGGCCCCTGCCTTGGAGGGGATCAGACTTTCAGCCAGGCTTCGCGTGAGCAT